TGGGGGGTAGGGCTAAGATTCAGAGAGACCTCGACAAATGGAGGATTGCACCAAAAGAAATCTTATGAAGTTCAGTAAGGATAAATGCAAAGTCCTGCACTTAGGACAGAACAATATGATGCACTTCTACAGCCTGGGGACTGACTGGCTAAGCAACAACTCTGCAGAAAAAGACCTGGGGGTTATGGTGAATAGTAAGCTGAATTATGAGCAAATAGTGTGCCCTTGTTGCAAAGTAGGTTAACTGCATATGAGGTTGCATTAATAGGGGCATTGCCAGCAAATTGAGGGGAGCTATTCAACATCTGGAGTACTGTGTCCAGTTCTGGACACCCCTCCCCACACACACACACACACTACAGAAGAGATGTGGACAAATGGGAGAGAGTCCAGCAGAGGACAGTGAAAATGGTTCAGGGGCTGGAGCATGTGACTTCTGAGGAGAGGCTGAAAGTACTGGGCTTATTTAGTTTAGAGAACTACCTGAAGGGGGGCAGGTTCCAAAGAGGATTGAGCTAGACTGTTCTCAGTGGTGACAGATGTCAGAACAAGGAGCAATAGTCTCAAGTTGCAGCAACGGAAGTTTAGGTTAGATATTAAGAAAAACTTTTTCATGAGGAGGGTAGTAAAGCACTCTAATAGGTTACCAGAGGGGTTGTGGACTCTTAATCCTTGGAGGTTTTTAAGACCTAGCTAGACAAAGCCTTGGGTGGGATGATCTATTTGGGGATGGTCCTGCTTTGAGCAGGAGGCTGAACTAGATGATCTCCTGAGGACCCTAATTTTCTATTATTCTATTATTTTATGATATTTTATGACTGTATTATATTTTGGGATTGATACGTGTTTTGCTCACAGGCCTGACCTTTTCTTACACAATACAGGTTTTGCTTCAAGGGTATCATCAATTCATAAAAAAATGTGTACTGATTTGGCTGATTTGGCCTGAGATACAAAATTTTCACACCTAAGAAAGAAAGAAGCTATGAGGATTGTATTGAATTAATGGAGGGAGAGTGCTGGCTTCTTGGGCTAAGATCAAGTATGAAAATGAGGGTGAGACTTCTCCCTTGCATTCCGGGGAGGCTGACCCTGTGAATCTCCCCAAATGCAGGGATCTCAGCTGCACAATTTTGTGGCAATAGGGGACTGCCTTTGTGCTTTCTCCCTAAATTTAAAGTTCTAGGGTGGGAAAGCAGAGAGCAAAGACCTATCTGATCCTTCACATTTATCTTCCCTGATGTAGCAGTAGCAAAGGGACAAATTCAAGGCAAACTTCCAATAATTAGATTCTATGCCTGAAAACTTATATCAAATATATATATTTTTCATATAGAAAATATTGTTATTGGGGGTTATTTTTTAATTAGGGTCATTTTCTATTTGAGTAAGTACAGTAGGTAATCTAACAGTATTCTACTTTTGATTTATAAATATGTACAGCAAGTAGTCATGCACACCATATGGTATTTTAATTTGTTTAATTGTAGTTCTAAACCAGGGTTTCTAGCTTCTTCTTCTAGACAATTTTATACGTAATCATGAAAGCAGCTCACACACATGGGACACTGCAGGAATGCAGTTTCCTTTATTAGAACAGAAAATATAAGTTTAAGAAATCTAGGAAGACAACAAAAAGTTGCTGGTGTTTCATTTTTCTCTCTCCATTCAAGCCCTACTTACAAGTATCAGTATGTCCAAAGGGGACTTTTTTAAGAACATATTTTTATCTGTTACAGAAATCTCCAACAAAGGGGAATAATGACTTCTGATCTACTGCTGGCTTTTTCAAAATCTCCTGAAATGGAGAGCAGAGAGATTTCCCAAGCAGCTGAAAGGATGGAAACTTCAATACAGCTGTTGAAAGAAAAAGTATGCCAGAAGCACAAACGTTCAGTGCATCCAACTGGTAAATACAACATACAGACATTGGCAGAACTTACTGTTGGTCACTTCAGTTGTGCCTTTTACATTTAAAGCTCTTTTGACTTCCTTTTTGGTATTCTACTGAAGGCTGTAGTACAACTCATATCCACCTATTAGACTAATAGTGCCTGCAGTTCATTTCTTTAAAACATCTTACAAAATACAGGTAACATATTTTCTCACATATGACATGCACCCTATATAATAGGAT